AGAGAGAGAGAGAGAGAGAGAGAGAGAGAGAGAGAGAGAGAGAGAGAGAGATCATTTAGAGACACTCAAACACACAAAATTATTACTAGGTACTTTAAACTTGTTCATATAGTACGCCACTGTGCAGTAAGATCTCTGATGTGTAACTGAGGAAAGTACCCTAAACCCCGTGCAGTCCTTCGGTCTCACCCAGTGATTGCGTCGTCGAAACGCGGAGAGGGGACCTGAGCGCGCTCCTGCCCCCGAGGCCTTGCCCCGCCATCTGCTCTGCGGGCTGAGCGCCTACAGCCTCCTTGACAGCGTGGTGCACTCGGGCCAGCTCAGCGCGGGGTGCCGGCCTGGAGCGTTGCACGCTCCGCCCGCGACTCCTGCAGGAGCGGATGCGAGAGGCGCTGCCGGGTCGTGCAGAGCTGGCGCCAGTCCAGACGACCTCACTGTCAGGGTTCGTGTGCTCAGAGCGACGCCAGCCAGGCGGGCCAGTTTGTGGGTAGAATATTTCAGGCATCAGAGGAAAAGTGATTCAGTTATATCATCTGATAAATATGTATTTATTTAACTTGTAGTTGTAGCTTTGACACTTTATTTCAGTTAGAAGCTTTTAAAAGTAGAATCTGGGGTTTCTTACAAAACTCCCTGCAAAATGAAATTAAGGAGGCCTTTTGGTAAATTCGTTTTCCTCCCTCCATAAGTGAGGGAACAAATGCAATAAGGGCAGCATCGCTCCAGATCCGACTTGATCACTCTCTGCGCAAAGGGCAGCAGGGCGGGGGCCTGTGCTGAGTGGGCGTGCACGGCGCCCCTCTGGGGTGCGGTCTGGGGTTCCAGCCCTGACGCCTGGTCTGCCTGTGATGAGAAGTGGCTCTGGTGTTGGTGGCTCAAGGATTTCAGCTGTGACAAGGAGAACATGTTGGAAAAGGCTGTGAAATTTATTTAAACAAGAATCGTACAAAGGCCTGTCAGTGATGTCGTGCTCTGCTCTAAACAGCCACAGCAAACGTGTGCTCTGCAATGAACTAAGGCGCTTGACTTCAAGTGGTGCCGCACAACTCATTTTTATGACCGCAGTATTTGGAGAGGTGTGTTCATGATGGAGAACGCGTTCCTGATTTACACTGCAGATTCCGAAGCTGCTTCTCTTTCATCAAATTCTCCTATTAGGCACTTCTTATCATTGGGAATGAGACACAAAATTTAATTTGTTTTTGTGAATACAATTTTATGGAGATATTTATATATCTTTATTCATTTTAGGAAGATAAAATAGCAATGAAACAGTTCATGTTCAAATTGAACACTTGCAAAACTAGTTTATAAATGATTCACAAGTGGCCAAAGTAACTTCTAAAGGCTAAAATAATTTTATTAGAGTTTTAAGATGATTTTCGTGTATTTTTCAGACATACATCTCCTGTAGCAAATTTATATTTCAATGAATTTTTTATTAATTTTGTTTTTGATTCTGACCATATAGACTCACTTTATTTCAGAATCACTAAAGATGTTAGAAAAATAGCAAAACATTTAAAACAGTTTTTAATACATTTGTATTTATTTGCATAAATATGTGCACTCATGATTAATAACATTCATCCAGGCGGCAGGTGTGTGAGGGATTATACCACCATATGTGCTGCATATACATTTGTGCACTTGTGTGTGCGCCTTCGGAGCTGGAGTGCAAGGGCGGCTCACTTGCAATCTGGGCGTCTTGGTTTTCTGCTCTACAAAATGTCATGGTATTTATCACCGTGAAGGGAAACCCAACGAAATCCTGGAGAACCTTGTCACATTGCTGGGGACAACGTGTGAGGACAGTTATTGCACCCATGCCCGCGTCCTTCCTCTTAGGAGGACAGAGTCCTGACCCTATGTCCGTGGCCTGTGCTGTGGGACTCCATCCCGAGTGTCTTCCGCATCACTGGAGAGGCATACAAAAATCAAAATAAGTGGGAATTTGTAAAATAAGGCTCATTTCTATATTGATATTTTTGTATGGAGCTGTTCTTCTGCACTACAGATGTCTGAGGCTGCGTTTGGGTCACAAACAATGCGCTGGCACTCTGCACCCAGCTCTCTGTGGCGCTGTGCTTTCATGCCTGTCCCCTGGGCATGGATGGTCAGAGATGCTGGCTGATCCTTGGGCTGTGAAGTGGAGTGTCAGGTCCGACATAGCGTTTATCTCTCTCTGCTGTTCTCCTGTTCCAGTGCTGTAAGAAAATGTGACCACCTCCTCATGGCCAGGGTGTCCTTGACGGAGCTGTCCACAAAGGGAGTGACCGAAACTGCTGCCATTTTTAGTGCGCTAGTGGCTTCTCACGTCAGTCTCCCCTTCTGAAGACTGAACCTCATCTATTAGCTAAACTTGATGCATCAGTCTGCTGAGATGCTGTTTCAAATCAGATCTACAAGAATAATATGTTTTAGTAATTTTTTGCAGACCTTCCAAGGTTAAAAATATTAGCATACAGATTTTTCCAACATGGCTCAGAGTACCACTATTTAATGTATTTACACTAAAATATGCTGTGAATCACAAACTAGAATAATGTATATTTAAAGGGTTTCATTATGATATTTGTTCCAGATACTTAGGAAAATGTCTTTGTTTCGATCATTTCTCTGGTCAGAGTTATTTAGAACTAAGTAGATTCATACCGTTGTGAATTTATTCCCACCGTACAACCCCAGAAACTTTCTGTCTCACAGAACTAAAGGTGCGTGGTCTTACATACCGCCTCTCCTCATCGCTCACACAGCCCCTGAAGACCCCATTTCAGCACTGATTTCCTGGATTTTGACTGAAGAAGGAACTGCCAGTGTCAATTCGCTGTGCTTTTGTGGCTGGCTTATTTCATGTGGGAGAAGGTCATCAACACTTATGCATCTTGTACAATAGAGCACCGTTTGCTCCCTTTGAAAACCTGCGCACGCCAATGTGTTTGGATTCTGTGTAGGGATTCCACTGAGGATGAGCCTGGCTTCTCGTGCATGTGGTGACTCAGGCTCACATGGAAACTGCTCAGAAAAGAGCTCTGCAGTGTAGCCAGATGGGTGCTTCTAAGTCGTATCCACATTCTGTTCCTTCTGGAGTAGGCAGTATAATAATTTTCACTTTGACCAGCAAGAGAGCTCAGCTGTCCAAGGTGCCTGCTCAGGCAAGTTCGGCCAAGAGCGCAGGGCTGTGGTTTGAACCCTGGCACCACGTCCCCACCCCAGGGCAGGCTGAGCCGGCCACAGAGGAAGAACAAAATGGTTTCCACTTTGACAGTGATATTTATATTTCTCACAAAAAGTTGACAAAGATGAGCAAGCTTTCTATCTTTGTCAAGATATATCTTCCAGGCCTGGGAAAATAACTTAGTGGTCTAAGCACTGGCCTGGCAAGTGCAAAGTCCTGAGTTCAATCCCCAGCACCACATGCCATGCCAGCCCAGAACGCTGGTGCATCATGCCAGCCCTGAAAGCAGGTCTGGTGGGGCACGCCCGCAATCCCACAGTGCTGGGTAGGCTGAGAAGGAGAATCTCCAGGAATTGCAAGCTGTGCAGCAAGACCCTGTACCTAAAAAATAAAAAAATATATAAATAATCGTTAAAACCTTAGAAAAGCTATATTCTCTGTTTTGTTTGCTTCTTTACTGAGGACTTTCCTGTGGAATGTGCAATTCTGCCTCACTGGACTTTGACACACACTTCCCAGTTGATGGCTCTGCAGAGCACCTGCCGTGCGGCTTGTATCTTTGCACAAGGAGGAAGGAGTGGAAACAGGAGAGCAATAGGCAGCGCTGGCAAAGAGGACGGTGACCTTATCTAAAAGGTGTGGGGCAGGAAGAGTGCATCGAGATTGCTCACTGAGAGACCAGAATGATACCTGAGCTAAGAAAACCAGACAGGGGTTCTTGGGGCAAAGACAATCACAGAGGATATATTTCCTGGAAATGGGTTCTTACCCCATGAAGCACTAGAAGCACATCCGAAACATGAGTGCTGAAGACGGTATCACACACAAACTGCACCAATAACGCAAAAAGGGCTGGACTGTGTCCTTCTGCAGGATAATCAAGAATATATTGGAACATAAATGAGAAATTCATGTCATTTATCAGCATGTTGCACTAAAGCATTCATATAACTTGAAGCTATAATGAAATATAATTTTCACATTTCATGTAAAACATTTATATCATAAATGATTGTTTCATCAAATAGTAGTCTTGAAAATGTCATTTGCTTTTACACAATTTGTTCTTCATTTCAAAACTGTACAAATAATCAACAAAGTACAACCTAATTACATTAAGGAATTCATCAAAGCCCATAATGATGTGCCTTTTCTATGTTCTGTGTGTTTGTAGGAGATCCATAGGAATACATTATGGAAAACTACACACAGCCCTCAACTGACTTCATCCTCCTGGGCCTGTTCCCCCCATCAAGGGCTGGCCTTCTCCTCTTCAGTCTCACCTTCCCCGTCTTCCTGATGGCCCTGGCTGGCAACCTGTGTATGGTCCTGCTCATCCTCCTGGACGCCCACCTCCACACACCCATGTACCTCCTGCTCAGCCAGCTCTCCCTCATGGACCTCATTTACGTCTGCACCACTGTGCCCAAGATGGTGTCCGGGTTTCTATCTGGGAACAAGTCCATCTCCTTCATTGGGTGTGGGTTCCAGAGCTTCTTCTTCCTTACTATGGCAGGATCAGAAGGGCTGATCCTGATGTCCATGGCCTATGACCGCTACGTGGCCATCTGCTCTCCTCTGCACTACCCCATCCGCATGAGCAGGGGAGTGTGTGTGCTGATGATCCTGGGATGCTGGGTGACAGGCGCTGTCAATGCCTGTGCCCACACAGTATACATCCTCCGCATCCCCTACTGCAGGTCCAGGGCCATCGACCACTTCTTCTGTGACGTCCCGGCCATGCTGACTCTGGCTTGCAGGACAGCCAGAGCCCATGAGTACACAGTGTTTCTGAGCACCGTCTTCTTTCTCTTGTTCCCTTCCACAATCATTGTGTTCTCCTACGTGAAAGTTTTTCTCACCATCTACCGCATGCGCTCCCAGGAGGGCAGGAAAAAGGCCTATGCCACCTGCAGCACCCACCTCACCGTGGTGACTTTCTACATGGCACCGTTTGCCTACACTTACCTCCGTCCAAAGTCCCTCCGTTCTCCAGCAGAGGACAAGGTCCTGGCTGTCGTCTACACCATCCTCACCCCGATGCTCAACCCTGTGATCTACAGCCTGAGGAACAAGGAGGTGCTGGGGGGCCTGCGGCGAGTGAGGCAGCGGATCTGCTCCGACAGAGAGTAGGCACGTTTTTCCTCTGCATGTTCACAAGAGGGTCCTGAACAGAAAAATCCTGAAAGCCTTCATTTTGGGAGCTGTTGTTCATCTGTAAAAAATAAAACATAAAATTTGTTGCTAGAGTTACATAATCTAGATGATATTTTATTCTTTTTGCCTGTGCTCTGTCAACATAATGAACTTATATGGTTTATTTATTTGTGGACAATTGTTCACTCACCAAGATAAATGAAATGGAAGAAGCAGAAATCTCTGCAAACTTATCATTATGGTGTGTGATGAAAAACTTTGCTGAATGGTTAAATTTTAAAAACTACACATTGCAGCACAAAACACACGGTCACTAGCCCACTCTCAATGCTCCCTCTCCTTCAAACACACTGGCCTAGGCCTTGAAGCATTTTCTGAAGCAGTCATGGACCCCTCTGCTGGGGTCAATGCTATGCCTGAGCAGATTCAAAGTGCTTCCCTTTGTGGTTATTGTGACTTAGACAAGATGCAGACCTTGCATGCTGCCAGCCCTGCTGAAGAGAGGGGATGGAAACACAGCGCTGCGGGTTGCGGGTCTGTGTTCCACTGCTGGGACCAGGCAGCAGAACTCTTTTGTCCTGTCTCAGAAAGGCAGCCAAGCGGAGGAGCTGTAGAGCTGCGTCAGAACTGCCAGGACTGACGGGCAAGTGTGCCTGGCGCACAGGAGAGGATAGTGTGGACCTCATGGCAACGCTTTTTATTGTAATCATATATTTTGTAAAATAACATTTGGATTGTGAATGTATAGTGTATTACCGTATTGATTCCACTTTTCCCCCTAAACTAAATATAATAATCCACATTTGAACAATATCTGTGACATCCAGGTATAACAGAAAAAAGTATGTATATTCATACTAATGTACACAGGGCATACTGACCAGTTTCCAAACATTTTACTTTTTATAATAATATACTCTGAAGGCTTATTTTCAAGACATGATGCAAATTTGATCTCTTTCTAAAACACTGCAGATAACTTAGAACAATAAAGATTATGGGGGCTGGGGAGATAGTTCCAGGGCCAGGAAGACAGCTCGGTAGAATAAGCACTTGCCTGGCAAGCACAGGGTCCTGAGTTCAACTCCCAGTACCACAAAATAAATAAATTGATTAATTAATTGAAATAAAGGTTCTGCTCAGATTTCCCTACATGTGCAGAAGTCCTCTTAGCTCTCTGAAAGAAATGGGTTATGTATACTTTCTGGGAGACAGACCTGGAATTACCTCATTAAGTCCTATGGGCACTACGTAGAAGTAGTTTTGGCGTGTTTGATTCCTGTATTAAGTTTTGCGCTCTGGATTCTGGTTAGAAAAGGTTTTCTAAGCACAAAAGATTTGATTTCATTTGCACCTGTAAAATCAAGTCCCAATCATGAATGAAGCAAGGAGGGTGACATACAGCAGGTGCGGCAGATGGAGCGTCAATCTTCTGGCTTCTCTCTGATTAAAAAGAAAAAAAGAGTATTTTCCATTATATGCTGGTGCTACTGGAGGGAGCGGCACAGGCCACACTCAGGGAGGCCCAGTGCCCGGGTCCTCGGCACACCTAGCTGGGCTCCCCCACATGCATGTCTGTGCCCCACCAGCCATGGCCGTTGGTCCATGCCACCAACCGCAGTCCTGTGCACCGGGGGTAAGTCGGAGGCTTGTGGCTGTGGAGAGCTGTGGCCCTGGCACAGGCGAAGTGCTTTGCTGTCACTGAAAATTTATTCATCTCAAGACAGTGTCTACGTTTAAAATCCGGGCAAAAACAAGACGTTCAGTGGTCAGAGCCGGAGTGACAGTGGGCCGACTTGGTGGCTGTGCACAGCGGTGGTGGCTGCAGGGCCTGGCTGTGTCTCTTGGGAAGGGGAAATGTGGGTAAGGAGCACATTCCTGGTTCTAACAGGTCACCTAGCCCCACGGAGTGGAGTAACAGCAGCAATCAGAGGCAGAGCCCAGCACAAAGAGGTCCCCAAGATTTCTCAGCGTCACTGATGCTGGTCATACGGAAGTTATCAGGACTACAGCTCAGTTGACTCAAAGCACTGCTCAAATCACTGCAGACTCTCTTCTTGCCCAGTTGGTCGTCTTTGTTTGACAAGGATTTAAACATTATATAAATAATTAAAAAGAAGATATATCAAGTTAAAAAATAAAAATTAATTATTGAAAATAAAAAAGGACTGGCTCAGCGATTCCGCACTCCAGGGCTTGGGGAGTCCTCCCTGGTGCCAGGAGGGCTGCCTTACAGTTACTCAGCACTTACAGGACACAAAAGGGAGGCGAGGAGCAGCCCCCACACCACTTCCTCAGAGGACCTTGATCTTCCCAGTCTCCTGCACTTCCCGGGAAGAGCTTTGGTCCTGTCTTCCCGGTAAGTGTTTAAGGAAGGGAGAGAGGCTCGACAGACGGCGCAGCTGCCCTCCTTCCTCTGCTCTGCACTGTTTTCCACTGCTGTGAACTACTGCCTTTTGCCTTGTACTACTCTGCCCTGGAGTCTGCCAAGTATGGATTAAAATCTCTACTAAATGCAAGCTAAATAAACTTTTCCTTCCTTAATTTAGGGTGTTGAGTATTTTGTCCCAGTGATGAGTAAAGTGTAACTGAGACAAATGCAAAGGGCCACTTTGCCAGACGCAGAGCCTCACAGAAAACCAGGGACTAGGGCTGGGGGTGCTGCTCAGTGCCACCGAAGCTGCCTGGCAGGTGCAAGGCATGAGTTCTAATCCTAACACAAAGGAAGGAAACGGAGTGGTCCTCTCTGCATTACAATTGACACTGGAATATAAGCTTTATATTTTATGTTTAAGGTGATTAAATTAAAAGGCTATTTCTATGCTCTCGATAAACCACGTGGGGGCCAGCGGGATAGCTCAGTGATCTGAGGCACCTGTTTAGGCAAGCTGAGGCAAGCACCTAGGGGCTGTGGTTTGATTCCTGGCTCCACAAACCATGCCAGCCCTACTCCCAGGGTGGGCTGAGCCAGCCAGAAGAGAGAGAAAAAAAGATAAAACATTTCCTAAGATTTACAACAAAGAGAATATTTTAAAAGATTAAGTTCTTATCAGGCCTAGGAGATAGCTCAGTAGAATAAGCACTTGCCTGGCAAGTACATGGTCCTGAGTTCAATCCCCGGTTACACACACACACACACACACACACACACACACACACACACACAAGTTCTTATGATTTCTAATAAACTTGATCAATTGATCACCTGCTCTACAGTCCTAAGTTACGTTGGTGTAGAAAAACTTTCATATTTTGCAAACAGATATTAATATTTGGAGTACAATCTAAAAACAGCAGGGTTTTAGACAATCATTTGCTGTTTAGATCACATTTAAACAATGGCAGGCCCGGCGGTGGCCACCAAAGGCCTCCAAAGAGAAGCGACGACAATGTCTTCATTTGGGGTCAAATTATCCATCAGAAACTTGTTCTCCCCGAAACTGGTCAGATCAAACCAAAATGATTTTCAGACTGTATTTGGTAATAGTAACTGGCACAATCAAGATTTTGGGCTAATTTTTCTGGTGTTATTAATCATCATAATTCAGATAAGCTAAATTAATTAGCTTGTTTTTCTAGCAGGGTCATATTAGTGAGGCTATGTGATGGCTTCCTCTTCCAAAATGTAGGATACAGGCTTCTCACTGTATGATCAAAACTCACTCACAAAAACAAAAGGAGGAATCAATCCTTCCAACTTCACTTCTTAACTTCACTTGTGATATATTCACTTGCTAACATATAGTATGAAAGTCTTAAAATTTTACAAAAGATGGGAGTACAGCACTGGCAGCATAATTCAAACAGGCAAAGTCAGAAAAGCTCACCTGAGGTAGAGTGTATGTATGTGATTTTCCAAAACATGCTGAGTGACCTACTTGGGTACCAAAGTGCGCTGCCAGGCTACATCAGAAGTCATATCTGGAGAAGTTCGCAATGATGAAGCTAGCTTTGACCTGGACCTATTGAAGAAACTGACAGAACTAGAAATCCAAGATCTCAATAAATGTTAGAGTACATACAGATAACTGAGATGAAAGTATTCTTAAGACAAAATAAAATACAAAAATACATATTAATTTTGGATAAAAGATTCTATTCCTTACAAATTTTTCTGATAAGATATCTTTGCTAATTGATAAAGAACAAAATCTGACTAGTCTATTTATAAGTATAAATTTCAAAAATTATAATAGAGTCACTATAATTCAACTTGGTCAAGAATATATCCCAGTGTACTGTGATTATGAAATATGTTTGGATGTTCTGTGTATTATTTATTTATTTATTTATTTATTTATTTTGCGGAACCAGGGATTGAACTCAGGCCCTTGTGCTTGCCACACAAGTGCTTATTCTACTGAGCTATCTCCCCTGCCCTGTTCAATGTACTTGTTTGCATATTTTTGTATCATTGTGCGAACAGCTATTACTCTTTTATTTGAGCTCCAAAGTTTTTCTTTTCTTTGATCATTTGTTCATAATGCAATTTTGGATATAGACTAACATGCATGTTTTCTAGTTACCAGCTGGCCCAAGTGATATCAAGATTGATTTATTCAGCAGTTGACAAGAAATTAAGCTAATTAAGCCAAAATTCTTTAGAGTGGGGAGACATTAATTGTTAAAACTTCAAGTGGTGAGTGGAGGGGTGGCCAACATTTCTTCAATAATAAGGAGCCTCCAATAATGTCTAATCTCTTTGGAGACAGCACCAATAACTAGCCATCACAAAGGATAATTAAAAAATAGAATAAGGTTTTGTAATAAGGACTCTTACCTCTTCCCACCAAAAAATACGTTTTATTCTGAGGAATCTATGCAGACAGGCCCTTGCCTCACTGATTAGATTGGGCACCTGTTTTACTCATGACCAGCTCAGCTGTGATTCACTCATCATTAAAATTACAAGGAAAAGCTAGAATTCCAAAAACTTCTGAAATCTATCCGACAATGAAATAATGAAGACAACCATG